CCCTCGCAGGGCACATAGAAGGACCATTCACGTAAGTCAACGGTCATTTTTAGTCCTCCGGAGGTTTCAGGGAAGCCGCCTGAAGGTCCCTGAAGCCTCCGGAGGGCTTAAACCGACCCTACAAGCGAATCGGAAGTCCATTCCAAAACTTCCGGTTTGACCATAGGGCCAGTTTTTTGCACTCCAGAGGCTTCAGGGAGATGTGAGGGAGGCTTTTTTCGCCCTCCCCAGGCTCCTATAAAGCTCTGGAGCCTGGGGAGGGCGAAAAATGGCTTTAGAAAAGGCTGAACTTAGCATGTGCATGCGCCCTGGCCAGCTGACCTGACAAATGGCTCCACGTGCCACCTGTGGCACGCGTGCCATAGGTTTGCTATCCCGGCACTAGCAAGTTAAACAGATCAGCTGAAACAAAAAGATGACCTTTGGGTCTGGGTTCTTTAGAATTTGAGATGCCATGTTATGTGCTTTTCCTCTCTTGTTTTATATAGACGCACTCTGTGGAAACGGATCCAGAGTATGGTGACCCCACTTCTGGCCTACATGGTATCTATTTTGGACAGAGATTATAATCTGAATTTGCTGGTCAAACCAACAACAGAAGATTGTGTGAAAGACTTGTGGTTATTCATCTTCAATGAACTAAAACTTCTAGACATCCCTTATGTCATGGGTCAGAGCAGGTAAGCTGTGGGAAGAAAGTGGGGATGAGGTTAAGAAACACATTTATTGATCACAGAAGTAAATTGAATTTGAAGTAAATATGAAAGAATAATGTGGTATATAGCTATGATGTGCAATTCTGGTTTAGCTGTTCATTTTTCAGTGAGCATGACTTATTTTAAAAAAATGGTTCATGAAAAGTTTATCCCAGTTACCGCCACTGTTGAACATAGCTAAAAGATGTGGGGGGAGAAATCTCTCCAATCACTAACATTTTAGTAAAAGTGAGGTAAGCAAAGAGAGAGTTTCAGTAGAACAAATTGAAACAGATTTATTTTATGCTATGTTATTTCCCTTATTCAATTTATAGGAAATGCTGTGGATTAAATACATCCACCATATAATCATCAATCCATTCAGTATCGGTCTTTAAACTGATCACATTTTTATGTGTAATAAGTTAAAATGCATCTCATATCCTGCTTGGCCTTTTTTTTACATGAATACATTCAAAATATATTGAAAAACCATCTGTTCATATGAAATTTACTTTATCTTCCTTAGTGCTCAAACAAAACCAATCCAGGTGCAGAATGAAATGGAAGTCTCTACAGGGGCTGGCAATAAAATGCCTTTCAGCTGGAGGATAAAGGATTATTTGGAAGATCTTCGGGTTCAAGCACAACATGTCTCTAAGAATGAAGGTGAGAATAGCGAGGAAATTAAAAAGAGGCCCCTTTGTTTGAAAAACATGGACAAATTTGGCTCAAAACCGTACCTATCATTTGTTTTTGTTTTTTTTAAAAACTTTTTTCTTAGTTTACCAATACAATATACAAATGCAAAGGGAAAAACACATGGAAAAGTAAGAAGAGGGAGGTGGAAAGAAGGGGATATAGTGTAATGGAAGAAAAAAAGAAAGAAAAACTGACTTCCGATTCTCTTTAGCACAGTTGAAGGTAGCATTACAACCACAACTTTTTGCTTTTACGCAACAGAGTATGTAAAAGCCATTTCTATAACAAAATAAGCCTGTCTAGTTTACAAAAACAGAATCAANGCAATAAAGATTAGGCTAGAAATAACACCAGAATGTTTCCTTCCTGCCTTCCTTACAGGATTAGTCTGGTAAAGTGGAAAAAACAAAAGGAGATTTCTTCCAACAACCAGTCCTCCTAACTGCTTAGAAAGTTAATGGGGAGTGGGGGCCTGGCATTTGGATTGGGGAAGTGATCTGTTGAGGTGAAGACCCATGTGAACTTAAAGGGAGGTTTACTCTCAAGAATTATTGCATTGCTGATTAGAGTTGTTTATACCCTGTCAAGGCCAACCATCCTAGAACTCCAAATGGGCAAAATACTTGAAGATGAGCTTCACATGACATTATGCAGGACATTGATTGGACACTTAGCATGGGACTCTGGGGGAGGGATTTGGGGAAACTCTCAACCTGTAACTTTTGAACTTTTTGAATCAGATCTTGCCTTGCTTTCACTGCTATCATTTCAAACTCAGTAAAAGTACCTCTTCTCTACTTCAATGGAGTTTGGGGTTTTCTTTCTTGGGTTTTGAATGGAGGCAGGTCTGATAAACCCATAGATCATATTGGGCTCATTATTCCTCTTATAATTATAGCACTTCTGAAATTATGTCAAATAGTAGTAAGAGGAAGAATCATCAGCAAAGTTGTTGCCTGAATTATTTGCAATCTTTTCTGTTGCCTGCTTCAACCAAAAGTAACAAATTTGTGTTGACCCAACTGAATAGGCAACCACACAATTCAGCACAGCTTTAAATACACAAATTATATATACTTCATTTTGTTAAAAGTGTAAACATCATTCATGGGCAGCTTTGATATTTAGAGCAAACAGTGGTCTGAATGACTTGAGTCATTTTCTAAAGAGAACTCATTATAAACACACAAATAAATTTAGCACCTTTTTTTCTATGCTTGATTTCATTTTAATAAGAGAACATAACAAAGATTTGGCTCAAGTCCCAATATCCAACATATTACTTTAATACATAGTCTTTTTCTAGATGTAGCAGCAAAGTCTCTGCAGGCCATAATATTACAAGCAAACACACTGACCATCGGCTATTAGACATGGACATAGTCCAAGGTTTGTTTATAAGAAAAAAAAATATTATAAATTTTAGCTTCTGAACTGGAAGTTCATTTGATCTGAAATAGCCAAAACTNCGGTTCTCTGAACTGCTTAGAAAGTTAACAACTAGTTCTCCCGAATAGGTGTGAACTGGCTGAATCCCACCACTGGTTTTAATTGACATATATATTGAAGCTCTGCACTCTTGGCTACATGATTTCTTGGCCCAGATAAAGCTTTAGCTAACTAAACAGTGTATTGGGGATTTAAATCATCAAAAAATGATGAGGCTAAACTCTCTTGCTTTCGCTATGAAACAACTGCAGGTTCTACATGGAGAATCCATAAATATTTTTGTAACATTGTATATGTCCCTCATGAGAGGCTTTTCACCTTGGCAATGACTATGGCTTACAGAATCCAGTTGGCACCTCTCTCTCATTACCAACTTGTCAGAGTATGTTCATGGACTGGAATAGACATGGCAAGAGGTCAGCCAATAGGGGATGTTGGAGTAAACATGGCAAGAGGTCAGCCAATAGGAACTGTTGGAGTAAACATGGCAACAAGTTAGCCAATGGGGATTGTTTGGAAACTGAAACATAGTATTTGTTTATGTGGGGCCGTAAGAGACAATTTGAAGTCTGGGCATGGCTTAGACTTGCTGAACTGCATATAGAGTTGGTTTGGCCTCTGTAACTTCCTAGCCTCAGTACAATATTCGCCTCTGTATCTCTCTGCTCTGTAATGACTTGCTTCTATGAATATTGCTTCTGTGTTCCTGATGTTGTATGCTGAATTCTGCCGTATGGTATTGTATATAAAGAAGTTTCTTATATATAATTGAATCCTGTAGAAGTCCATTTACTTGTGTGTGCTTGCTGGATGTGCTGCTGCAACACAAACTTTGACACAACTGACTCAGGTTTCTCAATAATGGTTTTCATGGCCAACATCAATTCAGTAATGGTTAGCTTCGGAGGAAAAGGATATGGCCTAATCAGTGGTGGGATTCAAATCATTTAACAACTGGTTTTCTGCCCTAATGGCCAGCTGGGTAGCATGGCTCAGTGGTCATGTGACTGCGTGGGTGTGACCAACTTGACATCATTCATGTCAAGGGGTGCTTCTCCTCGCCTGGCCTCTTGTGACCGTGGGGATGCTGTAACGGTTGTAAGTGTGAAAAATGGCCATAAGTCACTTTTTTCAGTGCCATTGTAACTTTGAATGATCACTAAATTAACTGTTGTAAGTCAAGGATTACCTGTACAAAAAAAAAGCTTCTTTGCTTGCAAAAAAGCTGCCCTAAATACCAATCATTAGATTAGAAATACCTGCAAGCCAGAGTTACAAATCAGGCAGGGTGCCAAAGCACCTTGAGGAATTAACATAGTTAAAATGCAGTGGTAACTATCAGCAGCCAACTCTTGCTCATAAAGTGAAACTCTTTAGCAGAGAGGTCATTTAAACTCTCCAGAAAGAGCACACCCAGGGGAAGCAATCTTTAGATCCATTTGCACCACTTCAAGATAGCAGCTGGTCTCACTCACCTCACAAGATATCCTAAGGAAATCATCCAGATTTAAGGAAAGATATCATTCCTCCCAGAAAGGCAGTAGAAAAAACAGAAGGGTGGACAATGTTCAGAGGAGAATGGGAACAAATGGCCAAGACAGTG